ACTGTTTAAATCTCCCCTCAAAATATTCAGATATGAGCAGTCTACAAATTTAATCTTGAAGAAATCTCTCTGGAGCCTCTGTCCTCCTCAATCTCTCTCTATATTATTCCCTCAATCTCCTTTTACTTCTTCCCTGCATTCATGTCTTCTTTTTTGGTTTATGTCCAATTTTCATAGAGCATATCCTCCAAAAACTTAACTGAGAAAAAGGACTGAAAGTGGATTTTTGAGGCCTTACATGGCTAAAAATTCAGAATTCTAAGTTGGAATTAAGTTTCTCTCATAATTTTTAATCAACTGCTCTAATGCTTCTAGCTTTCATGACTGTTCTTGAGAAGTCTGAAGCCACTCATTCCAGATCTACGAGACTTTATTCTATTCTCTCTCCCTGTGGAAGCTGTGAGAACTTTCTTTCACCCCAAGGGTTTTGAAATTCTAAGGTGCTGTGCCTTGGTGTGGGTCTGTTTTCATCTGCTATGCTGGGATCTTGATGGTTTCTTTCAAGCTGGAAACATATCCTGTTTTTGAGTATTTTCTTAAATTACCTTGTTATATTCATATTTTAAACTTTAAAAATCACTATAACATACATATACAAACATGTACAAATCTTACATGTTTATAGTTGAATAAACATTTCTAAGTCAATACTGTTTATTAATATTTAAAAGAAAGGCACTAATATGCTGATTAGAAACTGCAGTCAGGTTGGCACTAAAAACTTTCATATTATCTCTGATTCTTCCTTCTTACTGAATCTCCTTATATCTAATTAGATATTCAGGCTTATCAATTCCACCTTTAGAGCTCTCGTCTCGTTCTGAAAATCCCATTGTCTACCTTAGAGCTATTTCCCTGAATACCAGTTCATCCTATTTTACCTGTCTTGCCTTCAAGTCTGGTTCAAATGCTACTACTTCCAGGAAGTCTTCCTTTGTGTTTTCCATGTTAAGCAAACTCTTGCTTCTCTAAAAGACTTCTGTATTTTGTTAATATTTCACTTACACATCTAATGTATTTAAAATTTGTTGTATATATTGCATGTGTTTTATTTCTTGTACTAGAGTATTATGAGTTTTTGAATCTTTGCAGGAATCTATCTTTGACTTTCCTCATTACATAGTTTTTGTTATGCCATCAGTTTATATGCTAGATAAACATTAATAAATAAAGTAAGGACTATTGAGGGAAACTGAAAAATAGGAGACATGGCCTCTTCTGGGGAAAAAAGTATTATCTATAGCAGTACCTAATTGATAGTATAGCACTTATGACAAAATGTAAAAGGTAAAATGACCCTCGACTTAGATCAAGAATATAGGCTTTTTCATTTAACTTTGCCAGTGCTGTGACAGTGTTTCCATCTCTGGTAGCTAAAACACATTGATTGTTGCCTTTTAATAAATTCACAATGAATTTCCACCATTTGGTAAAATATACAATCTTAAATTGACAGTTAGCTTCTGACAAAGCCTATTTACATTAATTGATATTTGAGAAATATTTAAGGGATCATACTTATCTTCCTTTATAAAGTTTTAAGTTCTATTTTTACAATAAGAAAATTATAAGACTACAGCTACATTAATTTAGATCTTCACAGAAATGACGGTATTTGATTGTACTTTAATATTATGCTATCAGTTTTTATAAAGAGCAAATCAGATTGAGTGTTTTTGCATCTTCTCTAAGATCACTGTTTGAAAATATTTACCATTACCATCATATATTAGGTTGAACCATATTAAATTGCCAAAATTCAAATATTTTCAGCTTTTTAAAAGGGCAATTTCTTATGGTTCACTTAAAAGTTCAATATTTTTATAAAGTTATCCAATTTAAATCATTTTATAATGCAGCAACGTAAAAAATGGTCTCATTTGTCAAAGTAGTATGTTCCCTCAACTCCCAAAGATGATAATGACACTAGGCAGAATGATTCCTTTTGGCTTTGGCTGCCAGGAAGCACAATGCTGAATGTACTGCTCAATTATAACAATTTTCTTAGGCTAGGTGATGTTATAATTATTAGTATGTTTCTTTTTGTTTCACCTTTTTCACTTTTATTGCTCCAGATGTATGTTTTTATAAAAGCAAACACTGTAGCAAATATATATCTATAATATATACATAAATGACTGGTTACCTAGCCTACTGTTGTGTTGAGCAGAATTCTATCTGAACTTGGCAGGGAAAAGTACCAAGATTAACTGGTGATATTCCATACAGGTACTGAAGGGGATGAGGCAGCATACCATCTGTTTCCAGCCCTATGCCATGTGCTAAAGTGCTCAAAGTTTGTAGTGATGAGGCATTTGAGAATAAATTATGAAAGCCAGTCTGCAAGAGGTGAAATTTGAACCGAAATTATAAATGAGAGAGAGGCATTAATTAATAGAAAGGATAAAGGTATCCTGCCACAATGAAATATAAAATAGACAATTAAATGCAACAGAAGAAACTTTATATATATGTAAATATTTGAATGTACATTAGGTTGGTTTAAGAATAGAATCTAGGATTCAAAGAAAAAGAATATTCACACAGTCACAAAATTGTCACTCCACAGACAAGTCATTAATGACAAAAAGAAAAAAGACTGTTTACATGACAATAATCGAATCTAACCTACACTCAAACTTAAAATCACCAATAATGGGCTAAACTGTTGTGTCTCTTTAAAGGATAAAATGATAAGAACACAGATCCATGTAATATTTATGCTAAAAATGTTTAACCTAAATCTGATCATGAGAAACAATTAGAAAAAAATCTAAAATGAGTAACATTCCTCAAAGCAACTAGCCTGAATACTTCAAAAATGTCAATTTCATAAAAGATAAAAGAAAAGCAGGAAAACTCTGTGCTAGATTAAAGGAGACTAAAAAGACATGACAACCAAATGTAACAAGTGATCCCATATTGGATCCTGAATTGGCATTAAACAAAAATAAAGTCTATTATTGAACAACTGGAACAATTTGAAAATGAGACTATATATGACTATTGCCCTTCAAAGTTTTGTTTAGCAATAAGCAATTCTGTAGAATTTCAAGTTTTGAAATTTGAAAATCGGACGGCAGTATTGTATGACTTTTTTTTTTTTTTTTTTTTTTGAGACAAAGTCTCACTCTGGAGTCCCAGGCTGGAGGGCAGTGGCATGACCTCAGCTCACTGCAACCTCCACAGCCCCGTTTCAAGCAATTCTCCTGCCTCAGCCTCTTAAGGAGCTGGGATTACAGGTACACACCACCACACCCAGCTAATTTTTGTATTTTTAGTAGAGATGGGGTTTCAACATATTGGCCAGGATGGTCTCGATCTCTTGACCTCATGATCCACCTGCCTTGGCCTCCCAAAGTGCTGGGATTACAGGCGTGAGCCACCGCACCAGTCTGTATTGTATAAATATTAAGGTTCACAAGTATGAGAACTGAATTGTGATTATGTAAGATAACTTTTTCTTGAAAGTTATTGCTGAAATATAATGCTGGTTACTATCAAGTTGTCCAGCAAAATAAAATGTAAAAAAAGAGTAAAGCTATGTGTGTACGTGAGTGTATATAGAAATAAAGAGAAGAAAATGTGGCAAAGCTAGGTGAAAAGACACAAATATCCACTGTACTATCTTACAGTTTTTCTGAAGTCTTAAAAAAAAAAAAAAAACCAGGAGAGATATACATAATCTGGGCCAAATTACATAAGTTTATAGACATGTAAACTGAAAGCAAAGAAATTTTATTTTGACATGTTCATTCTGCTAGACGTAGCTAGTGTACAACTAAAATTCCTGTCACTTTATTTTCTAGTTCAGTGCTCTTTCGCCTTACACAGTCTCAAGCCTAATCACACAGGATAAATCAAAATAAGAAACATCTAGATGTAGGAAACTTGAGTACCAGGCAGGTGTTCTAAACCACCCCAGCAGTAATAAGAGGATGGACTATGGTCAACTGTATAAATGGAGAGGAGGCAGCAAAGTTAAAAAACATAAAAGAAGCATAAAAGATTGGTGGTATATTAAAAGGAGGAAGCAGAAATGACTCTATATTTTATAAGCTAAAAAGATAGGAAAACAACAGTACTAGGGCTAATAAATGAAAAATTAGAATAAGATAGACATTTAGGATGAATATTTAGAAACTTAGCTTGAGACAGTTACATTTTAATTGTAATATACCAGAATGTAAACTACAAGTGCATTAGAATGTAAAATCCGGAAGGCAGGAATTTTTATTCTGTTTGCCTATTGAAACATCCTCAAATGACTTGAACAGTGCCTGGTAATACACATTTGTTGAAAAAATAAAATGTTTACAAGGCATTCATGTACAGATACACAAGAAATACAAATAAGAAATTTAAGAGAGAGTATGAACAGATATTTACTTGGTCAGTCTTTAGGGAAGTGGACATATTTATAGTCTCCATCTCTTCCAGGTCCGTTTACAGAGCACTCTACCTGGGGTTTTGAATATAAGACCAAAATATGTCTACTCTATTCCATTGTTCCTTACATGTACCTTTACAGTAAACCTCACCAGGCGGATGTGTGGTAATGGTAATTTAGAGCTATCAAAACTGCATGATTATTCCTAACAGATTTCATTAGCTAGAGTAGCCAGGACGAGCATTAACAGCATCACCTGGGAGCCTGTTAGAAATGCAGATTTTTAGGCTGAACTCTAGACCTACTGAAACTTTGTGGTTGTGAACCCGATTACCTTTGTATTAAGAAGCATTCCAGGTGATTTTTTACTGCACATTAAAGAACAAAGAACAAAGATTTTAACAGGTACTAAATACTTTTTGGATAAAATACCTACCTTATAGTCTAAGCCATTCTTCTTGAGATGTAGCTAAAAATTTACAGACTCAATTACATAAAGATATTTATAATAAAATCAGTGTAACCTGTCACACAGTCGTTAATTCATCATCTAGTGATCACACAGCAAAACCAGTCTAGTATGAAAACATTTTTAAAGCTATCTACTTACTTTAATGTTTCCGCAAGAAAAAAGCTCTGCTGTACATCATCATGTGTAGGAGTAGAAGAATACACATCTTTGACTCCAGAAAACCCACCACTAACTCGGCAATACTTTTCAATGGCCTATGAAAGAGATCAGACAAAATAAGCAATTCTGTAAAATTTCAAGTTTGGAAGAACAACAAAACTCTGAAGGACAATAACCAAAAGTTCATAAAGATTTATATGAAAATCTCATGGTTTAAGAATAATGTATTATCAAAAGGAAATATTCTCATACTGGAAAAATTAACTCATATGAGAAACAGGATGTTTCCTATAGAATTTCTCTCTCTCCAAAACTCTTTAATCTTTTTAAGACATCTTATATTTTCCTAACTTAGAAATCAAATTTAGGCTATTCTTTCTAAATGAGGGGTCTGTCCGGCAAAATAAAGATTCATGAATTCTGACAAGTCAAGATGGAGGTCAGGAATTCTGACAAATCAAGATGGAGGTCAGTTTCAATTAAAAATTTTTTATTGTAATTTTATCCCTTCCAGGGACAAATAATCTACAACATGATAAAAAAAAAAAAGTATTAGTAGGAGGACTCTCTAGTAACCGTAGTAAGAGATAATATTTACTAAAAACATACTATGTGCCAGACATTGTATTACCATAATACTATGAGTTAGCCATTACAGGTGGTATCAACTGGCAGAAAGAGCCCACCTACTACAATAATAATTACAATACAAAGAGTTAACAAGTATAAAGTATTTACTATGTGCTGAAAGTTGTCCTAGGGTTTTAAATATAATCACATTTGAATTTCACAACTCTATGAGGTTAACAGTTTCATTTTTCAGATGGGAAAACTGAGGCACAGAGTAATTTGCTCCACATTATTAACTACTGTGCTTTATTGCTTGACTGAAAGTTAAAATTCTTACATTTTTTTTTTTTTTTTTGCATCTTTGGGCATGCCTAAATAAAATATACTGAATGAAATGGAATGTATTCACAACCTTATTTTTTAATTCAAAACAACTGAATAGCCTGCTTCTGCAGGTACAGCACACTCCAGAATTAAGCCATTCATGAAAAGTGGGAAGCACATGTGGTTGTTTTGTTTTTTATTCTACCTAACCCTGGTTTAAGTACAGCTACTTAAATAATCGTCACTGTCTGCCATGGCTGGTTGTTCCTAGTCTTGCTACTTTTCTTACTCTTCTGGGTTTCTCCTGTCTATGAAAAGCCAATTAACATTAAAGGGTGTTTATTTAATCAATCTGTCCATTTCATAGCTCCATTTTGATTATAGCTAAGTTGAAAGGGTTTGGTGCTTTTCTCTAATATATTCTAAACAAATTTTGGATACAAGAGTTTTTAAGAACTTTTCTTTATAATAATCAAGTGTCTTCACCACCATATGAACTATCAAAACAGTTTAAGAATAATAAGAAAGTAGTGGGGAGGCATGACTAATCTTTAAGACATTTAAAGTCATGAGGGCAAGTTTGGAAGTTTGAATGTGTAAACGGAATGAACAGCTATGGCTACAGAAGACATGCTATACTGCTATTCTGCCTCACCCTGCCTTCCCTTTACTTTCTTCACACCCAAGAGGCAGGGCCAATAGTGACGTGTGAGCAAATACTATGTAAGATGTGACACCGCCTCTTTTGCCTCCATCCCTCCCTCTTCGCATCACTGCACATTTCTGAAACTTGAATTTAGAGCAGGCGTCCCCAAACTGCGGCCCCCTGAGGCCATTTATCCAGCCCCCCGCCGCACTTCAGGAAGGGGCACCTCTTTCATTGGTGGTCAGTGAGAGGAGCACAGTATGTGGTGTTCCTCCAACGGTCTGAGGGACAGTGAACTGGCCCCCTGTGTAAAAAGTTTGGGGACGCCTGATTTAGAGCATAACTATTCCAGTTATTGTTCTTGACCAATTATATGTTGAGTTTGTGTTTGTTCATATAGGATATAAAAGCAAAATTCTACCTCCTATATTTCAAATTTAGACAGACATAGGCTAAAGTTTAACTCCGTCACACCTCTCCTTAACAAATAAAAGTAGGGCCATACTTGAAAAAAGCACCCAGGAGAAAAGGATCTTAGGAAAGGATGAATTATCCTAAATTATTCTTCAATGACAAAAACTGCTTCTGCCATCACTTTCTACTCCCCACATGATCCAGACACATCTTCCTCATTCCTCTAAGTAAGAAGCATGAACTATCAGGGGACATTAAAGTGAAACATTCATTATACAATCATTTTACCTATCTAGTTCCCTTATATAAAACAGTGGCTAATTTACAGAAGCATTAGTAAGCCACTGCTAACAACAGAAGTGTGTGTGTATTCTATTCCCAAACCACTATGGCAATAGCTGGGCTGTCTTCCCAACTGTGGCAGCACCCTCCTACGCAGACAGTTTCACTAGTAGCTGTGCTCCCTATTCTGGACCCAAGGGGCCAAGGAAAAGCAGCATCGATAAATGCTGAATCTGTTCCTGTCCTGTGTAACCAACCACTTGCTTCCATTAATACGCTCTTATTATGAAAGTCCAGGACGACTATCTAGGTCTGAATGACAAGTGAAAAATAAGTGTCCTCCCCTTGGTTCAAGACCTCACATTATTCCTAGGTTATGGCAGTGGACTCCCAAACCCACCAATTTGTGGATTACAATCAGATCCTTCTGTTTTGTTACTCCACACTGAAAACAAAGTCTTCAGGAGTTCCCCCTTACAAACCATTTAGCAGTTCTGTAAGGAAATCTCAAAGTCAAACAGCTTTTGCAGGCAGAAATTGGTAAGAAAAAAAGAAAACTGAGATTTGAAGGGCTTTTTGGACAAACAAAGAACTTTGTATCACCACTTCCCATATGACAGCACTTACACAGTAGCTGACAGAAGAAACTCAGAGTGTGTGTGTTGGGGGGAGGAAGTTGTGTACATACATCTTCTTTCTTGAACAACTAAGAACTTTTGATTTGGTGTGTACGGCTGTCTACATATACCTCCAACCTTCTCTCCCGCTTTGCCACTGTGAAACCATTCTCTTTACACAAATTGGTATACATCTTGCCCTAAAACACATCTCGTATATTCTTGTCTGGGCAATTTACCAGCACTACTGACCTCTTTGGGGATGTCCTTAGTCATTCTAACTAGATTGTAAGATAAACAATTAGAATACCAATAATCACCATAATTAGTGTTATTTATCATAATTAGTAAATCTTAAAGAATAAAATAACCCCTAACCCCTGGAAATAAGCTATATTTTCATAAGACTAGTAGTTTTTTCCTCCCTAGGTACTGATAGCAATGGATTCCCTGAAAGACTAGCATTTAAGAGTAAACCGCTTTCTTCCTTTACTTACTAACCATTAAAAATTCTTCCTTTGAAATATATCTATGTATATATGTGTGTGTATATATATATATATATATATATATACACATATACACATATATATACACATATACACATATATATACACACACACACACATATATATATACACACACACACGTACATACACACATTTTTAACCTTTCAATCTAGAAAAGTTTTAACAATTTACTGTTCCTTCTTACAGTGATGCTCTGAGGAATTACTCAGAACACAAGTTGAAGTAAACAGGATGTCATCTACCCAGGCTGTGAACCTGGGTAATTTTGCAATGTTATTTTTTCAGTGCGTAAGCAGTAAGACAACAAAATAGAAAATTAGCCTATTAATTTTAGAATTGTACTGAAAAACTGCCTTTTAAATGACTCCCTACAGTTATGTAATAATGCATGAATACTAGCAGGAAAGTAGCCCTAACAGAGAACAAAACTGGATCAAAAGATTTATTTCTACTGCCAAGAAACTTAAACTGACTAATTAAGAGTTTCTTCATCAGATAAACAAAAACTGCCCTACAGGTACTAACAATAAGGTAGCATTTAGTACTTTGGGTGAGGACGCATGGCATTATGGGAAGGCATGTCTCAACACTCTTACAGATAAAGTGGAAGATGGGCTTATTTACCAGTGCTGCTTCCCAGCCCCACTGCCTGTATCTTGGATCATGAGTGAATCGCCACAGGTACCAGTAGGTTTCAATTACTTCTGGACGGAGGATATAATACTTTTCAGCTTGCCGGACAGCCACAGCTTCTACTGCACCATCAAACTTGAATGATTCAGGACCTAGCTTTAATGCTGTAACACAACAAAAGAAATAACTGAGCAAAATAAAACATTTAAGTTTGTTTGCAAGGACTTCTTTCTTCCCTGAAAGAATGGAATATGAAGTAATTTTTGTTGTTTATTTTTATTACTGCTATTGGCATTCAGTGCAAAATGAGTCACTTTAAAGGATCCACATTTGGTTTTCTTAAAATAGACTTATAACTATTCCTATTAGTCTGATTTAAAATGTTTCTCAGAATAATGTGTATCAACATACTGCCAAATCTAATTCTACCAATAACAGTCTAGTAATCTTTTGGAAACAAATGCAAACCTAGACATTTGCACCTAATATAGTCCATTGTGGTCCAAAATAAAAGTATATAGATAATGATAATGTGTGGATTTTTAAGACAATTTTAAAGACATTTTCCTATAATACGCATTATAGGAAATTATTTTAGAGCTCAGATCATGAACTGATTTAGTTGTAGATAGTTACAGTATACATTTAGCTAGAATAACTACTAAGGAGAAGTGAATGAATATTTTTAAATATGGTGGCCAAAAATTATAGCACAGGTATAAGAAAACACAGCAGAGGATGTAATAACCTGCTAGAAAGTTAGCAAAACTAGGATTGCACTTTTTAACTAAAGGATCTAAATTGAGATTAAAGACAAGTAAAAACAATGGAAGACTTCAAATGCAGGACACAAATCAATTAGTATCATTTTTTGGTTTACCATTAACAAAGAGGGTCACAGGTTCATCAACATGCAATGTGAAAATGACAATCAGAACAAGAATCAGCATCAGCAATGTCATTATGAAACATGAAAATCAGAAATATAAGGGAATCCTTTCATAACTCTGGTATTCTATAAATTTCTGAAAGGCAGGAAATAGCTCTTGTTCATACTTTATCTTATAAGCATCTAGCATAATACTTGGCATATAATAGCTGTTCTGTGTTTCATGGAGTAAATATTTAATTGCAATAACTATGATATACCATATTTTAGTATGTATGCTATATGAAATTCAATGATCTTAGGTCTATTATTTGATTTTTGGTCAAAAGCTGCAAATACACAATCCTTATTCTCATGGATCCTAATATAAAATTGAATATCCATCCTGTTTCTCAATGTTTGACTAATTTTAGCTATATTTTGTTTATATAATTGACATTCTATATCAACATAATAATTTAGCTTCTATTTCTAACTCAGATTACTGCCTTTATATGTAATATATACTAACACTTAAGCTACCCTAAAATAACACTACTTCATTGTACTCTTTTTTTTTTTTTTTTTGAGACGGAGTTTCACTCGTTACCCAGGCTGGAGTGCAATGGCGCGGTCTCGGCTCACCGCAACCTCTGCCTCCTGGGTTCAGGCAATTCTCCCGCCTCAGCCTCCTGAGTAGCTGGGATTACAGGCACGTGCCACCATGCCCAGCTAATTTTTTGTATTTTTAGTAGAGACAGGGTTTCACCACGTTGACCAGGATGGTCTCAATCTGTTGACCTTGTGATCCACCCGCCTCAGCCTCCCAAAGTGCTGGGATTACAGGTGTGAGCCACCACGCCCGGCCCACTGTCCTCTTAATTTATATTCTTTCAAGAAACGGAACCCTTGCATTAGTTAACGAGAGAACTGAAAAATCAATTTTGCCATAAATTTAATTCCTGACTGTATAAAAATAACTTGACATATTGATGAACTAGCATAAATTTTAAGTCACTCATATTTGTTTCAAGGTATCTGATGATAAATTAACCCTAAAACAGAAATTCAGTTATTTTATAAAATCAGTGACTTAACTTCTGGAATCAAATTGAAATTTCTAGTTTTTTGGCTTTTAGGGAAGTCATCCATTACTTCACATAGAAACTCACATTTTTAAAGCCAGAGAAAACCTTGGAAGGTCTAGTCCAGTGCTTCTCAGCCCCCTTTTCATTACCGCACCCCTAAGAAACCTTTTGGCTTTTTTTTTTAAAAAAAACCTAATTGCCTTCTTCCTCCATAAAATTTTAACACCAAATATATACTGTAAATCTATTTATGACTATATGTATATCTGTACTTTATACATAAAAAGAATAAATTTTTTTCCAGCCCCAACCAAACCAATTTTTGTCACAATTAAGAATCACTTCTTTTTCCATGTAAGGACACTTAAGTTCAGAAAATATTTGCCGAATGCAATGTCAGAGGATCTTTAATTAAAGCCATAAACAATTCCAAAAACTATTGGTGAACTAATTGAAAAACTACTAGTTAGCTAGATACCAATAAAGATAAATACTATTATCTTTTGGTTATTCTTTTTATCACTAGAGGATCAGCATGGCAATATAACCTAAATCAGTCAATTTTATGTTCTTTTAGATAACTGTTTTTATAGAAGCTGAAATGGCAAAAAATAGATTCCTATATTAAAATAAATGTTATTCCATATATTCCCAAGTACCTCACAATTCTTGTCTTTCAAACAATTACTTCAAAATCTTTAACAGAAACGGTAGATTTCAGAATTAAAAAAATTATGCAGAGACACATTTCCAGAATTAAAATTCAAGTTCTTAAGAAAATAATTTGCCATGTTGGTATAACCTATTGAAGTAAAAAGTGCCTATATATTCTCCTTCTTATTCCTGGACACATTTTTAACTTAGAGATTATTTTAGACTAAATAATTAGCCTTATTAATATTCTTACCAGTTCTGTCATATGACTCATGACAAGTACGTGCAATTTCTGCCCCTAGCTCTAAATAATGACCAGCTTTATCTGTTCTGGAACCATCTGCTCCTAGTGCAAACATTCCCCCAGCAAAGCAGGCCAAATGTCCCATCTTTTTTTCCAAGTGCCCATTCTTCCATTCTCCAATAAAGATAAGACCTCCACGAGACTTCTTAATAAGATGTTTTTCTATAGCCTATAGAAAAGAAAAGATATTCAAAATTTTAGAAGCAAACTAGTAGTGTTCAAACTTACTATATCCTTCTGGCCATTATAAAACCTGGGAAATATGATATTCTATAAAGTAGTAACTTTCCCAAACTAGAAGACTTAATTAATGTAAGTGTTGGAGATGGTGATCAAACTGCATATAATCTGTAACAAATACCTGAATTTCTACCATAATAAGACACAGTGGAAGAGGGAAGACTTGGCCTAAAAAATTGCCTTCTATATAATATCTTTAGTCCCTTACTTCTCAAACTTACGCATTTGTTTTGGATGCTTTGTCTGGGTGGGTAAGAGAAGCCATATTACAAACACTGTCTATCCTCCTGGAATACAAATTTTACTCAAAGGATGTGAGACTGGTGAGAGAAATAGTCTATATTAAACTCAAGTATATCAGAGTATAACAATCACATTTCATTTTTACAATGAGATTATCAAAAGCTTTGCTCCTTTGAAATATGTTCTTAGACTTTGCTGAGATGAGCTATTTTCTACCTGTAGAGATATTTCTATGGAAAAGCATAAGAAATGGCATTAACTCAGTTTTCTTTAGTTGAAACTATTATATATATTATATATTATATATATTATATATTAGTGGTTATACTTTTCCTTCTGACAAAAAGGAGTATTTTCATGGTCAGTTGTTCTCTGACAAGTTTAGTAACAATCAGCCTTGGAAAATTTTATTCTATATTCTCTGTAATAATAATGTGAGTTTTACAGAACTGGAGTGACTATGTCTTACTCATCACCTATATTCCAGAAGGCATATAATGTAGTGTGCACTCAATACATGTTTAATTATTAAGTAGTTTTATAAATGAATGGTGCTCTTAGATAATTGTATTTGATGTTAGGGGAATGAGAGGTGGCTGAAAACCAAAATAGCAAGAAATTATCTTTGGATTATAAGTTTTTGTCATTGTTTTCTTTTAACCGTAGTACTCTGAAACAAAAATAAAAAGATTAGTTTTTTGAGTATGGGGCAGAATTTTTCAGCTTTCTGAACCTCATGATACCAGCATGTTTTCCACATATAAGGTATTCCATAAATGCCTAAAGGATGGTATCCATATGTTTGTAATTTCTCTTCATTATAACATAATTCTTACCATATTATAATTTAAAAATATCCAAGCAGATCCACATGGACTTACTATAACTAAAGTAAAAGGCAGTTAGGGCTTTTTACCAATAATTTTAAAAGAAAGCAGGAACCAGGGAAATGGGTATCTATAAGGATAGGAGAAGGTAGGGTGGCTATGGAATAATTTAAGTAAAATAGCTCAGAAAGACAAAGTTTAAAAATAACGTACTTGAAATTAGAATGAGTCTTAAGTGGTCATTCCTATCTCCCTCAAACATTCCATATGTCATTTATTTTACAATACTCTAACAGAATAGTTACTGAAAATAATTAACACTGCAAAAACTACATACTTGCGATGTCTCAAAGTGAAAGCTGACCGTTATTAAAAAATTTATTCTTGACTCAGTAACTAATAAAACTAATAAAAACAGGACAAAGAAAGTACAGAAATATTTATAGGATCCATAACATATAGCAGATGACTCATGTAAAATAATGTGAATTTATAAGCTTAACGTTAAAACAGACATGCCTTTCAAAGAATGTACAATTAAAAAGGCAATTTTTTTCTTTGGAAAAAATTAAGCAAAAGTCAAAATGGTTTTAAAGAAAATTACAAGAAAACAGCAAAAATTAATTTACTGCATGGTATATGACATATCACATTTTCTCAAATATAAAAATATTAAATATATTCATGCATTTATCAAATACTATGGAATACCTATTATGTTTCAGTATTGTACTATGTGCTGAGATAATGTTAAACAATTTAGTCTCTCCCCTCAAAGGAGCCCACAGTCTAGTGGAAATTACTAAGAGCTATTTTCAACAATATGGTTCTAAGAATATTAAATTCTTCCCAGATAATAACCTATCTTGGATCACAAAACTTTCTAGGTTTAAATTTTAATAAAAGAGAATAAAATTCTCCTACTAAAATTTACATTCTTGGTTGTACTTCTAGTTCCATTTATTTATTTATTTATTTATTTATTTATTTATTTATTTATGAATGAGACGGAGTCTCGCCCTGTTGCCCAGGCTGGAATGCAATGGTGCGATCTCAGCTCACTGCAACCACCTCCTCCCAGTTTCAAGCAATTCTCTTGCCATGCACCATCATGCCCACCTAACTTTGTCTTTAGTAGAAACGGGGTTTCACTGTTGGCCAGGCTGGTCTTGAACTTCTGACCTCATGATCCACCTGCCTCAGCATCCCAAAGTGCTGGGATTACAGGCATGAGCCACTGTGCCCAGCCTAGTTTATTATTTAATACTATATCTCAACAAACACTTATTGAGTACCTATAATGGGCACAACACTGTGAGCCACATATTAATTTCAACTCCTGTGCATTTTTTTTTAAAACAACTGTAGCAAATTAGGTGCCTAAAAAGTAAGGATATAAAATGGATAAGATTCTTGGTTTAATGAAACAGAAAAAAAACACACACAAATTTTAACTCTGACAACTAATTACTGACTACATCGCACAGTGTTGATGTAGTATACACAAAATGTACAATTTTTTAAAAGTAATTAAATCATTAAGTGAATATCGGTTTATAATAGAGCAAGAAGCTAATTACCTGCTAAACACATTGACTTAACACACTTTTAACTTACTTTTCCATTTCACAGGTTTTTCTCAGAAATACTCCATATCAAATCTTCCTAGAAGGAATCTTGTTCCAAGTATAAACTGTCACAATATTATGGTATGAAGTCATTTAAATATGAAACAATATAATACAGTGGTTAAAAGCACAGGCTCTGCAGCCAGACTGTTCAGTTCCAGGTCCTGTCAATCACCAGCAATACGACCTTCAGCAAGTTACTTCACTTCACTGTTCCTTAAGGTCCTCATGTATAAAATGGTGATAATGATTAAATGATCTTATATATGTTAAAAAAAAAAAAAGGGTTTGAACAATGCCTGGCACATAGAGAATACTATGTTATGTAAGTGTGTTGTCATTATTTTAATTATTTACCCATAAGGCTCTCAATGTGTAGATTCAAGGGTTCATTTGAAAGAAAAAACGTTTATGAAAATGTATGTAAAGTCAGAAGTTTTTCCAGTCTCTGTAAATATTAACTAAAAGTAATTAAAATCAATTTTCATGACTACACTAAAATAAATTCTTATTTATCTTTATCTTATTTATTTATTAAGACAGACTCTCACTCTATTGATTGATTGATTGATTGACTGAGATGGAGTCTCACTCTGTCACCCAGGCTGGAATGCAATGATGAGTTATCAGCTCACTGCAACCTCTACCTCCCAGGTTAAAGTGATTCTCCTGCCTCAGCCTCCCGAGTAGCTGGGACTACAGGTATGTGCCACCATGCCCAGCTAATTTTTGTATTTTTAGTAGAGATGGGTTTTAGAGGCTGGTCTCAAACTCCTGACCTCAAGTAATCTGCCTACCTCAGCCTCCCAAAGTGCTGAGATTACAGGCGTGAGTGGCTGTGCCTGGCCTACAATAAATTCTTTCTTCAAAAGTTTCTTTAAAATGCCACAAATAAAAGAAGATTTAATATGAGGCTTTTCTATTAAAATTGCAACAAACCCTATAGTGAATGCATACAATAAAATACTTATACATAGTATTTCTTGAATGTCTATAATAAAACGGTTATAGGATATTCACCTAGTCACTACCAAATATATTGTACATTCAATATGTTAAGTAGATGGAAATGTTCTGGAAATAATCACCTCAATAGCATCATCATACATCTTTCTCGCCTCATGGTCTGTTTTATCTGACATTAACCATGCTTTCAGTAAGTATTCATAAAAACTGTCTCCCAAACCGCCAACGGATGTATGATCTGTAACAAAGGAGAAACAGAAGGACAGAGGTAAGGGAAAGGGAAGATAAGACAAAGTAAATTTTTCAATTATAATGACTATGTTACAGATCAATAATTTTAAAATTATATTGACAATCTTATTTTCAACATACTTTGAATTAGTCCTGTAAGTGTACACATAATCACTTTCCTCTATATGTATATCCAATTTTCTTTCCTTTTCCTTTTTTTTTTTTTTTTTTTTTGAGATGGGAGTCTTGCTCTGTCACCAGGCTGTAAACGCAGCTGCACAATCTTGGCTCACTGCAACCTCTGCCTCCAGGTTCAAGCGATTCTCCTGCCTCAGCCTCCCAAGTAGCAGGGATTACAGGCATGCACCACCACATCCAACTAATTTTTGTATTTTTAGTAAAGATGGGATTTGGCTATGTTGGCCAGATGGTCTCAATCTCCTGACCTCGTGATCCGCTCGTCTTGGCCTCCCAAAGTGCTGTGGTTAGAGGCATAAGCCACTGCACCCGGCCATGTGTACCCAATTTTCTAGAAAATACTTTTTCTCTGGATGTGGTACATCACATACTTAGTAGTCTTTTTCTTGAATTACAGTTTGTACACTGTAATAGAGCCAAACTTTTCCAGAATTGATAATTACCCTTTATATATTAATAGCTTTAAATAAGTAAGTTATGACTAAGTATGAAAGCTCAACTTAAATCTGATGTTAAGCAAAAAGAGCTCACTCTTAAACATGTTATTATACAATAGTTAATGGTAATTTCTAAGCCATAGATAATAAATTAAAATACACCTACAAAAAGAAAATTAACCCAAGAATTCCTTTATAATACAACCTTGCATAATATAATAGCTGTTGACCTGCTATCCTAGATTACTATTTATACAAATTTAAGTACATACAGGCATACCTTAGAGATACTGCAAGTTTGCTTCCAGACTACTGCAATGTAGCAAATATTGCAACCAAGTTAGTCATACAAACTTTTTGTTATCCCAGTAGGTATAAAAATTGTATTGACAGTATTATGTTTAAATAAACAATGTTCATATCTTAATTTAAAAAATACTTTATTGTTAAAAATGCAAATGATCATCTGAGGCTTTCAGCAAGTGATACTCTTTTTGCTGGTGGATGGTCTTTGCCTTGATGATGATGGTTGCTCACTGATTGGGGTGGTAGCTGCTGAAGGTTGGGGTGGGTGGGGTAATTTCTTAAAATGAGACAATAGTCTCCTGTATTGTTTGATTCTTCCTATTTGATTTCTCTGTAAGATGAAAGATGTCTCTGTAATGTATAGCATGTGATACTGTTTAACAGCATTTTATCCACAGTGAAATTCTTTCAAACTTGGATTCACCTCCTCATATCCTGACATTGCTTTGTCAACTAAGTTTATGTAGTATTCTAGATCATTATTGTCATTTCGACCATGTTCATAGCTTCTTTACCAGGAGTAGACTCCATGTCAAGAAACCACTTTCTTTGCTCATCTGTAAGAAGCAACTCCTTATTCGTTCAAGTCTTATCATAAGACTGCAGTAATTCAGTGCCATCTTCAGGCTCCACTTCTTTGCTATTTCCATCACATCTACAGTTACTCACCCGACTTGAGTTTGAATCCCTCAAAATCACCCAACAGGACTGGAATCAAATTCTTCCAAACTCCTGTTAATGTTGATACTGTGACCTCCTCCCATGAATCACAAATGTTCTTATGGGCATCTAGAATAGTGAATCCTTTCCAGAAGGTTTTCCATTTACTTTGCAGATATTTGTTAGTGGAATCACTACCTATGGCAGCTGTAGCCTTACAAAACGCATTCCTCAAATAATAAGACTTGGGAGTCTTAATCACCCTTTGCCCCATGGACAGCAGAATGGATGTTGTGTTAGCAGGCATGAAAACATTAATCTCCTTGGGCATCTTCACCACAGAAAATGGGTGACCAGGTGCATTGTCAATGAGCAGTAATATTTTGAAAGAGATCTGTGCTTAGCAGATCTCAACAGTGGGCTTTAAACTCTGCCATCAACAGATGTGCTGTCATCTGAACTTTGTTGTTCCATTTACAGACCGCACAGAGAGTAGATGCAGTGAAATTCTTAAAGGTGCTAGGATTTTCAGAATGGTAAATTAGCACTGGCTTGAACTCAAAATCATCAGCTGCATTAGCCCCCAAAATGAGTCAGCTTGTCCTTGAAAACCAAGCATTGACTTCTCTTAGCTGTGAGATGACATCTTCTTCCAGTACAAACCTGTTTCATCTACACTGAAAATCTGTTTAGTGTAGACACCTTCATCAATTAACTTAGCTAGATCTTCTGGATCACTTGCTGCAGTTTCTACATCAGCACCTGCTGCTTCACCTGTCACGTTCATGTTTGAGAGGCAGCTTCCTTCCTTAAACCTTGTAAACCCACCTCTGTAAGCCTCAAACTCTTCTCCTGCAGCTTCCTCACCTCTCTTAGCATTCACAGAATTAAAGAAAGTTAGGGCCCTGCTCTGAATTAGGCTTTGGCTTAAGGGAATGTTGTGGCTGGTTAGATCTTCCACCCAGACCATTCAGATTTTTCCCATATCTGCAATATGGCTGTTTTGTTTTCTCATTATTCATGTGTTCACTGGCATAATACTTTTAATTTCCTTCAAGAACTTTCCCTTTCCTTTCACAACCTCCTAACTGGTGCAAGAGGCTTAGCCTTTGGCCTGTCTTGGCTTTCCACATGCCTTCCTCACTAAGCTTAATTATATCTAGCTATTGATGGAAAGTGACAGACATATGACTCTTTTACTTGGAATACTTAGAGGCCACTGAAGCGTTTATATTTATTGATGCATACTAGGCATACATTGTAGGGTTATTAATTGGCCTTCTATTAATATTGTTATGTTTCAAGGAATAGGGAGGCCAAAAGAGAGAGACAGGGAAATGGCCAGGTGGTAGAGCACACAACATTTATTAAGTTTGTCATTCTCTATGGGCGCTGTTCATGCTGCCCAAAACAAGTACTATAGTAATATCAAAGATCCCTGATTACAGATCACTATAACAGACATAATACTAAGGAAAAAAATTGAAATATTGCAAGAATGGCCAAAATGTGACCCAGAGACACAAGGCGAGTACATGCTGTTAAAAAAATGGTGTTGGTAGACTTGCTCACACAAGGTTATCACAAATCTGCCATCTGCAAACACACACACACACGCCAAACCTTGCAACATCTGCAAAGTGCAATAAAGCAAAGCATAGAGATAAATATATAAGTATATGGTTATGCCTATATTTGTCCTAGATACATTCTTATTTCATACCACCTATACTTCTAAACCTCTCCAATTCGACACTACAGCTCCCAAGCAACCACTTTTATCCTTGACCTTCTATAAACCCTGCCCTGTACCTTCAAACTCTGTTTCAAAACTGACATCCTCTTCTCTGCATTTAAAAAAAAAATTACATTTTGTATAATCCTCATTCATTCATTCATACAGTACTATCCCTGCTTTTTAAATTGGTGAGAAAAAGATAGATTATTTAGTGTTTTATGGCAAAAACCAGCTATTCATTTTGGGGGAAAATGCTAATTTTCATATATTTAGCTCACAAAATACATTTGTGAATGATTATTTATTAGTAAAACAAAAAGAATAAGTTTCCAGAACAAAATATAAGAACATATCTAGTCTTCCTAAGTAAATGATTTTAAGGAAAATACAAAATGAAGGAGTCATAAAGGAAGAATGGATAGCTTCATAATTTGTAACGTTCGTAACAAGAAAAGGATTACTGTCATAAACTACAACTCCTGACAAATAGGGGAAATTAAAATAGGGTACACACAATTAACAAAAAAAGAAACACCAATTGGTAATTAACATAAGAAAAGATGCCCAATTCCACCAGTGACCAGAGAAAAGCAAACTAAAACAATGAGATTCCATTTTTGTCTATTAGATCAGCAAACATTTTAAAAGACTGATAATATCCAATGTTGACAAGATTATGGTCCCCATTGCTGGAACTGAAGGACAATTTTGTAGTAGCTAAAAAAATTTAACCTAAAAATTGTAGTTCTGGAATTATAACAATATTTACAGAAATATACAAATATAGACGTAATAAAAGTTAATGAGAATTATTTTCATTAGTAAGAAACTAAAAATAACCTGAAATGTTTAGGGAGGAGGAGAAGTTACAATATAAACATACTACAGAGGACTGCACGATCAAAAAGAGAATCAAGGTGAATCTATAATCTGACACTAAAAGACATCTATTATGCTGTTGAGTGGGCAGGGAGAGCACATTTCAGAATTACATAGTTTGATACTTCTAAAAATGTGTGTTTAAAGAATGTTGGTGTACACATAGAAAAGATCTGATCTCAAACTCTGGGCTCAACCAATGCTCTAAGGAAAGAGCCCTTCAATTTTAACTTTAGACACTTACAGTCATGTGGATACATGTAACATATACAATTAAAAATCATCTTTTGTGTAGAAAGTAAGAAATGGGGGGAAAGAGCTATCATTCACTTTAGGCAATATGCCCGTAATTTACTTTCACCTCATCTCAAACGCTATTACTTCTCACTTCTTTTTTATTTAATCCTAAGTGTATAATTCTCATGTTTATATATGTATATACCAACAAAACCATCACCAAGATAAAATTATAGGCATTTCTGGCATCATACAAGTTTTCCTCATGTGGTCTTCAGTCAATACCCAACTCCCAATGATAACCATTTTTTCTAATTTCTATTACCACCATAGATTTGTTTTGCCAGGTTTTGAACATCATATAAAATGGCCATTTGCAGCTGGGCATGGTGGCTCACACCTGTGGCTCACACCTAAGCACTCTGAGAGGCCGAGGCGACCATATCACTTGAGGTCAGGAGATCCAGACCAGCCTGATCAACATGGTAAAAACCCATCTCTATTAAAAATACAAAAATTAGAGAGGTGTGGTGGTGAACACCTATAATCCCA